CATCAAAGTTCAGGTTAGCTAACTGGCCCTTTCCAGCCCCTGGGAACCTTTGAAACTTTAACAGAGGGTACTCACTATGACCCTCAACCAATCCTAAATGAAAGATGGTTCAGGTTCCCAGAAATGGAGGACAAATGAATGCTTGAAATATGCCCCATGCACTTGGCACCACTTGGTGGTGCCACTACAGCCCCATTTTGAAAGTGGGAAATGATAGCCCTAGGGCCCCTCTACCTTGCCCCGGTAATCATTTGATGAACACTTCAAAGATAAGACGTATAATAGGTGCTCTTTTCCAGTTTCATAATATTCAATGATGAAAAAACATCAAAGTTCAGAACCGGCCTTTCCCAGCCCCTGGGGCCCTTTGAAACTTTGACATGGGATACCCCCTAAGACCCTTAACCTATCCCCAGTGATAGTTTGTTCAGGAGACCGGCAATGAATAAAATATGAATGCTGAAATATGCCCCAGGCACTTGGCACCACCAAGTGGTGCCACTACAGCCCCATTCTGAGAGTGGGAAGTGATAGCCTAGGGACCCTATACCTTGCCCCAATAGTCATTTGATGAACACTTCAAAGATAAGGCGTATAATAGTTGGCCTTTTCTCGTTTCACAATATACAATGATGAAAAAACATCAAAGTTCCGGTTAGCTAACCGGCCTTTCCCAGCCCCTGGGGCCCTTTGAAACTATGACAGGGGATACCCCCTAAGAACCTTAACATATCCCTAGTGAAAGATGGTTCAGGTTCCCAGAAATGGAGGACAAATGAATGCTTGAAATATGCCCCACGCACTTGGCACCACTTGGTGGTGCCACTACAGCCCCATTTTGAAAGTGGGAAATGATAGCCCTAGGGCCCCTCTACCTTGCCCCGGTAATCATTTGATGAACACTTCAAAGATAAGACGTATAATAGGTGCCCTTTTCCAGTTTAATAATATTCAATGACGAAAAACATCAAAGTTCAGATTAGCTAACTGGCCCTTTCCCGCCCCTGGGAACCTTTGAAACTTTAACAGGGGGTACTGCCTAAGACCCTCAACCCATCCTTAGTGAAAGATGGTTCAGGTTCCCAGAAATGGAGGACAAATGAATGCTTGAAATATGCCCCACGCACTTGGCACCACTTGGTGGTGCCACTACAGCCCCATTTTGAAAGTGGAAAATGATAGCCCTAGGGCCCCTCTACCTTGCCCCGGTAATCATTTGATGAACACTTCAAAGATAAGACGTATAATAGGTGCCCTTTTCCAGTTTCATAATATTCAATGACGAAAAACATCAAAGTTCAGGTTAGCTAACTGGCCCTTTCCAGCCCCTGGGAACCTTTGAAACTTTAACAGAGGGTACTCACTATGACCCTCAATCAATCCTAAATGAAAGATGGTTCAGGTTCCCAGAAATGGAGGACAAATGAATGCTTGAAATATGCCCCACGCACTTGGCACCACTTGGTGGTGCCACTACAGCCCCATTTTGAAAGTGGAAAGTGATAGCCCTAGGGCCCCTCTACCTTGCCCCGGTAATCATTTGATGAACACTTCAAGGATAAGACGTATAATAGGTGCCCTTTTCCAGTATCATAATATTCCATGATGAAAAACATCAAAGTTCTGGTTAGCTAACTGGCCCTTTCCCGCCCCTGGGAACCTTTGAAACTTTAACAGGGGGTACTGCCTAAGACCCTCAACCCATCCTTAGTTAAAGATGGTTCAGGTTCCCAGAAATGGAGGACAAATGATTGCTTGAAATATGCCCCACGCACTTGGCACCACTTGGTGGTGCCACTACAGCCCCATTTTGAAAGTGGAAAATGATAGCCCTAGGGCCCCTCTACCTTGCCCCGGTAATCATTTGATGAACACTTCAAAGATAAGACGTATAATAGGTGCCCTTTTCCAGTTTCATAATATTCAATGACGAAAAACATCAAAGTTCAGGTTAGCTAACTGGCCCTTTCCAGCCCCTGGGAACCTTTGAAACTTTAACAGAGGGTACTCACTATGACCCTCAATCAATCCTAAATGAAAGATGGTTCAGGTTCCCAGAAATGGAGGACAAATGAATGCTTGAAATATGCCCCACGCACTTGGCACCACTTGGTGGTGCCACTACAGCCCCATTTTGAAAGTGGAAAAAGATAGCCCTAGGGCCCCTCTACCTTGCCCCGGTAATCATTTGATGAACACTTCAAAGATAAGACGTATAATAGGTACCCTTTTCCAGTTTCATAATATTCAATGACGAAAAACATCAAAGTTCAGGTTAGCTAACTGGCCCTTTCCAGCCCCTGGGAACCTTTGAAACTTTAACAGGGGGTACTGCCTAAGACCCTCAACCCATCCTTAGTGAAAGATGGTTCAGGTTCCCAGAAATGGAGGACTAATGAATGCTTGAAATATGCCCCACGCACTTGGCACCACTTGGTGGTGCCACTACAGCCCCATTTTGAAAGTGGGAAATGATAGCCCTAGGGCCCCTCTACCTTGCCCCGGTAATCATTTGATGAACACTTCAAAGATAAGACGTATAATAGGTGCCCTTTTCCAGTTTCATAATATTCAATGACGAAAAACATCAAAATTCAGGTTAGCTAACTGGCCCTTTCCCGCCCCTGGGAACCTTTGAAACTTTAACAGGGGGTACTCCCTAAGACCCTCAACCCATCCTTAGTGAAAGATGGTTCAGGTTCCCAGAAATGGAGGACAAATGAATGCTTGAAATATGCCCCACGCACTTGGCACCACTTGGTGGTGCCACTACAGCCCCATTTTGAAAGTGGAAAATGATAGCCCTAGGGCCCCTCTACCTTGCCCCGGTAATCATTTGATGAACACTTCAAAGATAAGACGTATAATAGGTGCCCTTTTCCAGTTTCATAATATTCAATGACGAAAAACATCAAAGTTCAGGTTAGCTAACTGGCCCTCTCCAGCCCCTGGGAACCTTTGAAACTTTAACAGGGGGTACTCCCTAAGACCCTCAACCCATCCTTAGTGAAAGATGGTTCAGGTTCCCAGAAATGGAGGACAAATGAATGCTTGAAATATGCCCCACGCACTTGGCACCACTTGGTGGTGCCACTACAGCCCCATTCTTGAAAGTAGCAAATGATAGCCCTAGGGCCCCTTTACCTTGCCCCGGTAATCATTTGATGAACACTTTAAAGATAAGACGTACAATAGGTGCCCTTTTCCAGTTTCATGATATTCAATGACGAAAAACATCAAAGTTCAGGTTAGCTAACTGGCCCTTTCCCGCCCCTGGGAACCTTTGAAACTTTAACAGGGGGTACTCCCTATATATTCAACCCATCCTTAGTGAAAGATGGTTCAGGTTCCCAGAAATGGAGGACAAATGAATGCTTGAAATATGCCCCACGCACTTGGCACCACTTGGTGGTGCCTTAGAATTGATTGCTGGAAATATGCACCACCTAGTGGTACCACTAGAGTCCCGTCCTGATAGCAGGAAACAATAGTCATTTGGCCCTTCTACCTTGTCAAGGTGTTGATATGGTGGGCACTTTATAAATCATGGGTATAATACCTTCCTGTAATATTAAAAATGTTCTAGGAACCACTTGGTGGCATCACCACCACTTATTACTGAAAACGGTTTATTAATAGTCTTATAGACACATAAAGTTGCCCCGGTAATAATTTTCGAAACATACTTCAACGTAGTTTACACGTGTGGAATATTTCAGTTTACAATCGTTAGAGTAACGAATTTTCAGGTTAGCTTATTGGCCCTGTCATATTCTTGAGGTCCCTGAAAGAGTTCAAAAGGTTTTCTTCTTGAAGTAGTTAACCATTTCCTAATTCTTGTTTGTCCAGTGAACTAAGATGAGTGGGTAATTTATTTTCTAATTTTTTCAGTTTTAAAAAAGAATATTTTTTTCTTCAGGTGAGCCTTACTGCCTCCGAGTGTCTGATTTATTATGTAATTAATTTTCACAAAGATTATGCAATCATTAATCCTTAATTATCTTAAATAAAGTATTAAAAACAGCACTGCCTCTCAGTACTCTCAGTTCTTTGATTAATTTCCTTATTGGCTGCTAGCTTCTACGCGCTTAGTGGCTGCTGTTATTGGCTGCTAGCTTCAGCCTGGTTATTCCGGAATATAGTAGACTGTCAATGTGTACATACCTTGTAATCATGCTTCTTTTTGTTACAACATTATTGGTGAGAAAAAATGCTTTATTTTCATATAAAACACTACATGTTTATTATCAAGACTGTACTAAAAATGCAAGCTGAAAACGGATTAAGCGTATTATTTCCTATTAGTAGCAATTCCTTTTTCCAATTTTTTGAGCACTTTTAGGGAGAATTTCTCCACTTTTTAGCATTGGTCAATCAAATACCTTTCACTTCCTAATTCTAGACACATTCTGTAGCCAATATGTATATATATTTTATCCACCTTCCAACCAGTAATAGTTGTCTCTACAGGCAATAAACTCGCTTGAAGTGAATTTTCAGCAATCTAAAAAATAATTTTAATCAAGCGAGATTATACTTGTAGAGACGAGTACAAATATAAAGGGTTGGGAGATGGATAACATACAGATAAATTAAATAATGTGCCTAGTTAATTAACCGATGCTGGAAAGTGGAGAAATTCTTCCCAAAAGTGTGCAAAAATATGCGCCGTAAATTGCACCTTTTTTGCATTACGGAATCTGTAGAGTCAAAGACAAACATATAAAACCGTAACGCTTAGATCTGCATGATTCAGTGTAAAAATCATGAAAATTGAGCTATAATTGACTCCACAACGTTTTTATAAAAATTGGTTTTTCAATGAAATATATAGCGTAAAAATGCAATTATGACTCACTTATGGCCACATACTGATAGTCATACAAAAGAATAGTTAAGAAAGTAAGTTGAAAACTTGAATGTGTAATACACATCATTGAAAGTAATATGAATTGGTACGAAATAATTTAAGAACGACTTAATGTTAGAGCAAGGAAAAAGGGGAGTTAATCTAATATTTGTTTACCTTTGGAGTCGTGGTCGGTTGGGAGAAGATATTGCATAGTTCTGATGATTCTCCCCATGTCCTGATGACTACAAAGAACATACAGCAATGACTTAAGGAGGTATCATTCTTTTTATCATGCGATTATATGAAGAGCTTTAAGTTTAAATTAAACATACTAACGTTATCTGAGTATCTCGAATTTCCTCATATTTTTCGGCATGGTTTGCAGACAACACCCTATATTTTTCAGGTATATCTTGAGTACCTATCTTCTCCTTGTGTTTTGTATGTTACATCTGAGCGAAGTAAGATATAAAACAGATAATTGGTCTGGCCGCTGATTGTTGAAGCAGGATGTTGTCCACGCCACTACAGAGACGACAGGCCGTCATTTTTATCCTGGGATGGCTCGCTTACGCCTCCACGTATTTGCTGCGAAAACCTCTAGGTGTTGTAAGTGTTTCTAGAGAGTGAATTTTATATTCACCCAAAATACTCATGAAGTTATTCATTTAAAACTAAAATTTATTTTTATTCAAAAAGATACTGTAAAAAGAGAAAATATGACACAAGTCTATTTTGATAAGTTTAAGCGCTTTGGCGCAAGTGCTTCTGAACGCTAAAGTTTATTGTGTGATAACAGAATTCTACATATTAAACTTTTTGTGTTCAAAGCAATCATTTAAGTGCATGTAACATGTTTAAATCAGAAAATACGATTATGTACGACTACAAGTCATGTTCCATGTTGTAGGGTCACTGTACTCACACTGGTAAACTGTAGGATTGATCGAAAAAATACTGCTAAATTATTAATTAATTTAACTACTGTTAATTAATTTTGTACCCCAATATTTATCATTAGCACCTTAATAATTGGACCTCTGACCATGTCAATCATCAATCGCAGTAAAATGTAAACAAAGGTAATGCAAGTCTTGACGATAACCAGCATCGCTATGAACAATATGTGTTGCCATTCCACGCTGATACCCGTGACAATAAAGCAATCAGATGTAATGACTAAATGAATGCAAAGAGTATACCCTGGTGTAGATAATGATATCGGGAATGGTGTATACCTATACCTATTTACGAGTTGTGTCCAGCTTTAATAACGGAATTCCAAGTCTCTCGATCCCTAGTACAGCCTAGTGAACCATACAAGCAAAACATTCTATTCATATAACAGTTTTTATGCTGTAAAGTGTAAATGGTTATATTTTAATTGTCATGCATTTTCAACTGTTTCAGTATGTAATGTTACCCAGAGGACATGGTTTATACATATAATAGGTTAAAAGTACTTATTATAACGAATGTTTTTGAACTTATGAAATCTTACATTTTATCATGAACATGATGAAAGCATAAAATAATACAATAGCTAGCGGAACAAAGTGCACTGCAAGCTCTTAAAGCAATGTCTAGACAAGGTGAAAACTTATACTTCGACTTGAAACAAACAGTACATGTAATTATAAATGTTTTTATTAAAAAATCCTTTCTTTCATGATTCACAGTTTGAGGAATTTTCCTTCATTTAAGGTGAAGACAGACTTAGAAGAGTCACTTTCTATTGGTAAAACACAGTTAGGATGGCTAGATACGGCTCTGTTGCTACCTTATGCTCTAATGCAGGTAAGTGTTAAAGTCTATATAGTAAGACTAACTAGAAACAGATAATATTATACACTATTGACTTTGATGAGATCTTTTAGTGACTATATGGACATGGTCAGGAATTGGTTGACTGGGGCTCAAGGAAGACAGGAGGAGGCAAAATTCAAAAGTCAATAACAATTTTATTAAATAATCAGGGATTGAACAACATTTTTTTTTTTTAGACTTTTGTTCTTTTCAAAAGCATTTTGAATATTATGTGGTGTGTAACAATATTTATAATATATTCCAACACTTGAAGTACTCAGTGTTTAAAAGTGGAAAATAATGGTATAAAGTGGCAAGCCATAAATACGCATCCATTTATTTATAAGGACATTTATCTTGGCTACATTATCTCCCTTGTTTACAGATGCTGTGTATGTATATATTTCTGGTTACTGTTCTCGTTTATTATATTATACATTTTATCCCTTGTTTACAGATGTTGTTGGGGCCGTTAGGAGACAGGTTTGGACCCAGGAGAACTTTTGGAGTCTGTTTGCTGATGTCTGCCTTATCCATGGTAAAAAAACACAATGTCATATTGTCATTATAAAAATAGAACGATCTCTTTTTTGATTCAAACGAGGAAATTAGGTTATAAGACACTTAATGATCATATGAAAAATCAGTTTAATGAAATGTGTTGGGAGATGGAATGATTTAAATTATATTTCTTTCTCTGTTGTAATTTTAAATTTTAAATGCATTACCTTTGAAGTATGCATTTAAAAAAGATTAATACATAACTTCAGTGATTGAAATTCAATAAATATCATGGAATTATTTAAAACTTAACAAAAGAGGTTTTACCAGATTTGATGGATTTTTATATTTAATTCAAGATTTTACTGATGATTTCTATTGCACACATGTGATATGTACCGGCGGTACACAAAATGTTGCGTATTTTCGACTCAATTCACGGGCTCATGGCGGTACACCAAAATTCACGGGAAACAAAAATGTGTACCGTTTTTTGAAATGCTTACCGGAAACCGCCATTTCTCTTTCATTCCCGCTTGCACAACACCGGAAATCTCGAACTATGCATGACTTACTGGTGATTAAGGTAAACATAAAAAAACATCATGAATGAAGGTGTGAAATATTCCCATGATAATTACATTGTAATTAAGAGATATCAAAGCGTTTTGTTTGGCTGATTGCTTTTTAATAGGACCCTTATTAAGGATTCTTAAAACTGTAATTTGTTAAAAGTAAAGACATTTCAAAGAGAAAACGCCTGCATTCACAAGAATCGGAAACACTTTGTGATAGCAAAACGAAATTAATTCCATTATTTGCTTAAGCATAAGTATTGTTTATTTGAATACAGATTAAGAGAAATGATTTTTTAGTACAATTTCAAAAATGCAGTTGAATGGAGATGACCAGACTCAATTTAATTAAACTGGTTTTATAAATACTGTACTTTTTACTAAGTTCAGCATTTAGGCCTTGCTTAGTTTATCGCAGAGATTCAAAATTCTTCAAGAGTTTCTTGAAATGAATAAAAAATCATAATACATCTTATGCAGTGTTGCATCTGTACATTGATTTGAAATTTATTATTAAAAAATAAACGCCTTACATTAATATTTTGGTCGATATTTTGTACAGTTTTATGTACAGTTTTTTGATTAGCAATGTACAGTATTTTCATCCAAATTCCAGTATTTTGAAGACTGGTGTACAGTATTTGGGTCTAGAAATTATCACATGTATGCTATTGCCTCAGTTTCTCTTGTCTTCTTGTAGGTCACATTTGGAAGTTGGAGTAATTTCTGGATCTTCTTCTTATTACTTTTCATAAATGGAACAGCACAGGTGGGTGTTATCTTAATTAATGGAACAGCACAGGTAGGTGTTATCTTAATTAATGGAACAGCACAGGTGGGTGTTATCTTAATTAATGGAACAGCACAGGTAGCTGTTATCTTAACGAATGGAACAGCACGTGCACAGGTTAGTGTTATCTTTATTAATGGAACAGCAAGGTTAGTGTTACTTTTTATTAATGGAACAGCACAGGCCACTGTTATCTTAATAAATGGAACAGCACGGGTCAAATGTTATCTTAATTAATGGAACAGCACAGGTGAGTGTTATCTTTATTAATGGAACAGTACAGAACACAAATATGTGTTACATGTATCTTAATAAATAGAACAATACAAGTAGTTATTAGTCTGGTAGTCATCTTAAGTTGTCATCAGTTCATTTCATTGATAAAAAGCAGTCAAGCTAGTTTATAATGAATTGCAGAACATACAGTCAAATTTCAAAAGGGGGAACTATATGAATACTCTTCATTTATTTATTGTTTATCTGACAGTAATTAAAAGTGAATGTTTTAACAAAATACTGATTTATAATAAGTGCAGCACATTTGTGTATAGGGCCAGTAAGCTATCTGCATTCAGTGCTGTTGTTTTGTAGGCCCAGTGCTGGCCTAACTGTATTAAGTGCCTGGGATCCTGGTATGCAGATGAAGTCAGAAATAGCATGTTCGGAATGTTTGGGACGTGTGCCTTTGCAGGGGGCATCATGGGAACTTCTCTGGCAGTAAGTCGTCCAATCAGAAAAATGAGATTACGCCTCCGCAATACTGGATAATGAGAATATTATTCAGTGTCCTAATGCTATAGACATTTTTCTTTGTATTGAATTTACTTGATAAAGCACTTTCAGAATCAGCATTTCTATGACCTTTTGATTACAATCTCAGAAATCAAGTGAAAAAAATGAAAGAGGTGTATTTCCCTTACAGATACTGTTTCATTTATATAACTCCATGTCTAATTTTGATTTTAGATTTATCTACAGAAACTGTTTTATTTATGCAGGCTTTTCTAACTCCTTGTCCGGTTTTGATTTTTAGGTTTATCTACAGACTTCCTACTCCTGGAGAAGTGCATTTTTTCTTCCTTCTGTGATAGTGGTGAGTACTAGACAGGATCAAGGTTTTAGTGAAGTGAATCATCACCTGTAAAATCATTGTATATTCATTGATGCGAATAAGTCTAAAGTAGTTTCGAATTTGACTCCTGACGTGACCCTCTATGGGATATCAATTTTATTTTGATTGATTCAATTAAGATTTAATACATTGTTTCTGAAGGCAGTAAGACATTTTGAGACCAAATTTTAGTACCATCTGTTTGTCGTCCAGTTAGGAGCTAGGTTGGGGGATGGATTCCATTCTTGTCAGCCTGAGGATAATGAATTGGTAGAAAAAGACAACCTTTCATACTTTAACTTTTAAAGCTGTAGTAATTCCTTGAGGATTAATTACTGTATACAGGGAAATTTTCGCCCCCGTTTTATTTTTGCCCCTTTCGCCCTACCCTCATTTGGGCGAATTTAAAACTGGGCGAATTCAAAGAATACAGTATTATTTCTTAAACTAAACTATGATTGGGCAAATTTAAAACGGGACAAAATTGTTTGCGAGTGTGAAAGGGCGAAAATAAGACGGGGCGAAAATAACCCTGTATACAGTATATTGCCCACTACAAAAAATCCAGAGCCTAATGTTTTTTTATTATTTGGTCAGATAGTTTTCTAGTTTCTTTGTACTTTAATTCTTTGTTATTTTGATATTTCTTTTCTTGGCTTTGAATTATTTTTCCGCTGTTTCAGGCGACACTTGGTGTGCTTGTCTTCCTATTCTTCAGCACTCCTGAAGAACAAAGCATAGAAATACCGGGGAAAAGTAAGTAAAAAAGTACAGAAATTCCAGGAAAATATAAGTCAAGAAAGTGTAGAAATTCTGGGAAAAAGTAAGTAAAGAAAGTGTAGAAATTCTGGGAAAAAAGTAAGTAAAGAAAGTGTAGAAATTCTGGGAAAAAGTAAGTAAAGAAAGTGTAGAAATTCTGGGAAAAAGTAAGTAAAGAAAGCGTACTTAAACATTCAGGGACAAGGAAAGACAGATTTGTACATTCAACAACAACGTTTATAAATTATATTTAGATACCACAGCAAACATGTATTTAAAGAAGTTGATTACATTACAGCACAGAGTTCAACATCATCAAAATCTACAGGAAGCACCTCATGGCTACAGATGTGGAAAATCCCGTAAGATTTTTGTTTACTTTGTGACTATTCTTATTATAATGTATATGACATATTGTTTACAGGGTTATTTTCGCTCTATGTTATTTCCACCCTTTCACACGTGCAAATAATTTTGCCCTGTTTTAAATTTGCCCGTTCAAAGTTTTGTGAAAGAAATTATACAGCATTCTTTTAATTTGCTTTGTTATAATTTGCCCAAATGAAGGTAGGGTGAATTGAAGGGGGCTAAAATAAAATGGGGGTGAAAATTTCCCTGTATACAATATTTCTTTTGAATAAATGTATCAGTTTTTATTCCATGCTACTTTAATACAAGTTTCTGAATGCAAAATATAAATGACTCAAATGTATAGTAGGTACTTTTGTAGTTATTGATTTATATAGAGACATTTTTGTTTTGTTTTTTGTTGATAGGATGTTACCTGAGGTTGCTGTAGCAGTCTTCTGCTTAAAAGTTGTGAGATACTGCATGTATATGTGGTTACCAATGTATCTATTGAATGCTGTAAGTATCAGACAGACAGACAAACAGCTAGAGAGAGACAAACAGCTAGACAGACAGAGAGAAAGGTATAGAAAGACAGACAGATACTGCATGTATATGTGGCTACCAATGTATCTACTGAATGCTGTAAGTATCAGAGAGAGAGAGACAGACAGACAGAGACAAACAGCTAGACAGACAGACAGAGAGAAAGGTATAGAAAGACACACAGATACTGCATGTATATGTGGTTACCAATGTATCTACTGAATGCTGTAAGTATCAGAGAGAGAGAGAGACAGACAGACAAACAGACAGACAGAGACAAACAGCTAGACAGACAGACAGACAGAGAGAAAGGTATAGAAAGACAGACAGATACTGCATGTATATGTGGTTACCGATGTATCTACTGAATGCTGTAAGTATCAGAGAGAGAGAGACAGACAGACAGAGACAAACAGCTAGACAGACAGACAGAGAGAAAGGTATAGAAAGACAGACAGATACTGCATGTATATGTGGTTACCGATGTATCTACTGAATGCTGTAAGTATCAGAGAGAGAGAGACAGACAGACAGAGACAAACAGCTAGACAGACAGACAGAGAGAAAGCTATAGAAAGACAGACAGATACTGCATGTATATGCGGTTACCGATGTATCTACTGAATGCTGTAAGTATCAGAGAGAGAGTAACTACATATATTCATGTGGTTACCAGTGTATCTACTGGATATTTTGTCTGTTTCAAAGGAAGGTATTGCCTCTTGAGTGGTTACAAATTTACAAGACTTAGTGTAGATTTAATGCATTAATGATTAGTAGGACAGAGAAGGGAAATATGAAACAATATAAATATAAATTAAGTAGATTATGTTGTTACTGTAGATATCAACACAGAATTATTTATTTATTACATTATGCCCAAGTGAAATCTAAAGCTAACGTGGAAAATTTAGTTTGAAAATTTTTAGGTGTGTTAATGACCTTCAAATGTATCATTTTTTTCTTTTCAAATTGTTTATTTTTGTCCTAAATCCTGCACATTAAAATCCTATAATTAATTTTCAGTTAAAGTACACCAAAGCCCAGGCTGGTATGTTTTCTACAACATTTGAGGTGGGTGGAGTATTAGGCAGTGCTGTCATAGGCATTGTCATAGACAGGTAATCTGTTCCGCATCACATTCGAGGGGGGGGGGGTGTTTTGAAAGGGCAGGGAATTTGACACTACATGTGTGTCAGGTTTTAAGATAAATGATGGCAATTTTATCTGTATTTTCTCTTATAAATACCAAAAACACATCATTTCCATTCCTTTAAATGTAAAATTTACTGAATTATATGATCATTATAAGTCATCATAATATGTATACCAAAAATAATTATACCAAGAATTTTTATTATTTTTTCATCTAATTACAGGTATTTTAAGGGTCTGTCTATTTTACTTATAGGTATTTTAAGGGCCGATCTCTAGCGGGTACCGGTTATTCTGTGGCTTTATCGGCTGTCTCCCTCCTGGCGTTTTATCTGACCAGTACCTGGGGTATCGTCTTTAACACTGTGTTCATGTTTCTAGCTGGAGTATTCAACTGTGGCCCTGACAGCATCCTAGGTAATTATGTATCAAGTAATTACACTGTATGGTGATTAATTATTTTGTAGGTGGATCTTACATTGGGATTGTTTTGTAGGTGGATCTTACATTGGGATTGTTTTGTAGGTGGATCTTACATTGTGATTGTTTTGTAGGTGGATCTTACATTGTGATTGTTTTGTAGGTGGATCTTACATTGTTATTGTTTTGTTGGTGGATCTTACATTGGGATTGTTTTGTAGGTGGATCTTACATTGTGATTGTTTTGTAGGTGGATCTTACATTATGATTGTTTTGTAGGTGGATCTTACATTGATATTGTGTTGAAGGTGGATCTAACATTGTAATAAATTATTGTTTTTTTAGGTGGATCCTACATTGTGATTGTTTTGTAGGTGGATCTTACATTGTGATTGTTTTGTAGGTGGATCTTACATTGTTATTGTTTTGTAGGTGGATCTTACATTGTTATTGTTTTGTAGGTGGATCTTACATTATGATTGTTTTGTAGGTGGATCTTACATTGTGACTGTTTTGTAGGTGGATCTTACATTGTGATTGGTTTGTAGATGGATCTTATATTATGATTGTTTTGCAGGTGGATCTTACATTGTTATCATTTTGTAGGTGGATCCATCCCAAATGAACTGGGAGAGATGGATGGAAGAAATGCTGCAGCTGCTGCTGTTGGTCTTGTCAATGGTGAGTACATTTCAAAAAGTGTTTTAATCAATGAAATGGAGAGGTATATACCACAATTTTTTGACACCCTATTTTTCTAAATGAAGAGAGGGAGGGGAGTGTGAAAAAGGGCTCTTAAACCTAGAGTCCATCTTTAAATGATTATGTTTTTAAGCAACAGCAACAAATATTTACATTTGCAAATGTTCTCCTTTATATAATACTACATAAATCAATGGTTAACTATATATGTTGATGAGTGTCTATTTATATATGGGAGTGCTATTGTGTTTTCATGTGTGACTAACCAAAAAAGTCAAATACAGGTGTGGATAAAAAATATCACATTTATATATTTTATTGACAAGTGCAAGCGCTTAAATTTATTTGCACCAATGTATTCCAGATTTTTGCAGTATTGTGACCTTTGAAGTAATTAGAAGCATACATATAATGTTAACCTCTCCTCTATTTTCAGGTTTTGGCAGTGTGGGGACATTTTTGGAGGGTCCCATTATTGGGGTGATATCAGCAAACTACGGCTGGTCTGGGATGTTCTATCTTATGATCGGACTATCAGGTGTCGGCGCCCTGGCCGTCCTACGTGCTCTGTCTATTTATAACAGAAGAAATGGGAAAATACCAGATGCTATACCATTAAAAATGGAAGACATTGCATAATAAATAGGAACCAATTCATAGTCCCATGCTGCTGTTTTGTGCCAATTTCTAGGAAAACTTCTGGAAGGTGGCTGTTCTTACGTTATATGCAAAAATTCTTCCTCAGGGTATTTTATTAGTCAACTTTGATGTTGAATACTGTTCGTTGTCTCCATATTCTTCCCTTATGAGGTTTGTATGTACATGAAGACTTAATTGATGATATAAGCAACAGCAGAATATGGTCAGGTGACCTTATTATTCAAAGAAGATGCAGTTTGATGAAAGGACAAGTTTTGCAATAACACAGAAGTCCTTTGTTAATCATGAGGGATTTTATCTATTTATTTTTTGTTGCTGTGACTAGTACAATGTATTAAGACATTTACTGATGTTTTTCTGGTAGAAAAGTGGTAAATTATAGAACATAAATAGATAGAAGAAAATGTGTATTAGACAAAAGCAAATAAGTCCCAGTAAGGTTTTTTTTCTTGGTTTATGATATCTCAGCTTTACTATGTATATTATTTAATGTAAAAAACAGTGTAATACTAGGATATTTTTCCTACTAAGGGTTCTAGTGTAACAAAAGATATTTTGTTTGTGATTTGTATCTGATATGCAATAATTTTTTAGTTAAATTTACTATTTTAGTGTATAAATTATGTTTAACAAGCATTATATGTTTGTTGAAATATCTGTGTGCAAATTTTGCAGTTCATGTGTATCTACTCTGCGTGTGCAAAATGTCCACATATTTAATGAATGATATTTAAATAAAGATATTCAAGCTTGAGAGATTTTTTTGATGTTGTTACAATGAAAGTGCATTAGCTTTTTGAACATTTGCTTAAAAATATAATTTTAATTATATGCTTTTTATTTTTCATAAAAAAAGATTATTTGCAGACAATTAAAAAAAAACAGTTGTACCCTTTATAAAATGTAACTAGCTTATTTGCCCATTTGAGTGATGGCTCAACTGTGCTTATCTGGTCAAAATTTTCCATTGATAGACATCGCCAAACTTTTTTTGATAATTTCGTCTTCTGCAAAAGCACTTGGTCAGTTTCAAGTAAATTTACCAACTGGGGTGAAGTGCATTTAAGTTTGTTCAAATGATGGACACCTTCTTTCCAGGGGGGATAATTAGTGAAAATTAATGCCATCTTTAACATCTTCAGCTGAGCCAAAAAAGCTGAAAAATTTGAAAAATTGTAGAATAAAAATGTTAAGATCCGGATCCCCAAGGAGGGGACGGGGGACCACAATCGGCCATCAAATTTACATAGAAATACGTAGGAGAAAATCGTCAGGTAGTGTTGATTCAAGTTTGTTTAAATCTTGACCCTTCATAGGGATATGGGACGTATGGCCAGAATGGGTTGTCAAAGTTGTACATGAAAATAGATTTTTTTTATGAACTTGAAAATGATAATGAGTTGTATTAGCATAAAGGCATTCTTGGGTAGTGCATTGCACAATAAAGATTTAATGTTAAAGATCAATCAATAACCCACAGGGGCAACAAAAGAGGAGAAAACTTTTTCTAGCAAATGATAAGTCAAAGAACAAGAGGCCCATGGGCCACATCGCTCACCTGAGCACTGTGGCTAGGAAAAAGCAGAAATGGTTTATACTTGAAAAGCTTAAATCGAAAACTAGTCCCAAGACCAATCATGGCTTTGCTATTCTTGAGAAGAAGATCTTTAGAGAATTTTCCTATATATTTCTATGTAAAACTTTGGTCGGCCATTTTGGCCCTGCCCTACCCCGGGGGGTCATGATTTGAACAAACTTGTATCTACACTACCTGAGGATGCTTCCATATAAATATGATCAATTATGTCTTTGCTATTTTTGAGAAGAAGATTTTTAAAGAATTTTCCTATATATTTCTATGTAAAACTTTGGTCGGCCATTTTGGCCACGCCCTACCCCTGGGGGTCATGATTTGAACAAACTTGCATCTACACTACCTGAGGATGCTTCCATATAAATATGATCAATTATGGCTTTGCTATTCTTGAGAAGAAGATTTTTAAAGAATTTTCCTATACATTTCTATGTAAAACTTTGGTCGGCCATTTTGGCCCCACCCCTACCCTGGGGGGTCATGAGTTGCACAAATTTAAATCTACACTACCTGAGCATGCTCCCATATAAATATGATGAATTATGGCTTTGTCATTCTTGAGAGAAGATTTTTAAAGAATTTTCCTATATATTTCTATGTAAAACTTTGGTCGGCCATTTTGGCCCCGCCCTACCCCGGGGGGTCATGATTTGAACAAACTTGAGACTACACTACCTGAGCATGCTTCCATATGAATATGATGAATTATGGTTTTGTCATTCTTGAGAAGAAGATTTTTAAAGAATTTTCCTATACATTTCTATGTAAAACTTTGGTCGGCCAATTTGGCCCCGCCCTACCCCGGGGGTCATGATTTGAACAAACTTGAAACTACACTACCTGAGCATGCTTCCATATATATATATGATGAATTATGAAATAAAGTCAATGTCTCCCCGCAAGACGCTTCCATCGTCGATGCATCCGATTTCTGGCCAGAGGGCATCAGCTGCAGAAAATGGCACAGTATTCGCGATTGGAGCAAAATCTGTGAGGAGCGGACATCCGAGGAAGACTGGGACTCCCAATACAACAATGAAACAAAATAAAATGACACTATTATTCATATTGTTAACAGCATATATTGTGTTGTTGTTATTGTTCTCATTATCATTTCCAATGTTTAAAATATTAACTTGTAATGTCAGGGTATTATTTGTCTACCTTACCAGTCTGCGCTGTACTAGACAAAACTCAATGTGATGTTGCCATAATATGTGAACATAAACTTAACAATTATTCCGCAACTTACCTTGATAGTATTCATGCAAACTACTTTAGTGTTGTTAAACTTCATAGTGATAAACAACTGCATGCTTCTTTATCTCCAGTTCGCGGTAAAGGGGGAATATAGCTCTCTTAATCAAAAAAGATTTGCTATTCTCTGTAAAACAAATACAGGATATTCAAACAGAATGTCTTGTAGGTATACAAGTCATGTCGCAGCAAAATACCCCTATTTATGTTTTTGGTGTTTATCTGCCATATGATAGCGACATTAATCATTATAGGTACATTGTAGACATTATGTACGGTTTATACGATATTATTCTAGTATGGTGATGTTATTTTTGCTGGTGATTTCAA